ACATCTATAACACTTTCTAAGTTATACTATCCATTATTGCTTAAATAATATAATAGAAGTCTTAAGAATGAGTCACATGATTAAGTTAAGAGCCAAAATAAGATGCACATCCTTAATGAAAGCATGACAATTCCTGGTAACTAAGGTATCTTTGTCCTGGGAAAGAAACCCTCTGCCTTCTCCAAGTTTTTATTTTCTGTTTTGAAAAAAGAAAAACAATATGCAAAAATGTATTTACTCCATCACAGCAATGTACTTACTGGTACCGAAGAGCTTGTCTCTACACAGAAACAGAACAGCACAAATGACCCCGCCCAAGACAACCAATGCAACCACGACGCCAATGATGGTTGGATCGCCGCTTTGATCAGGAACTAAAACAGAACATCAATTCTTATTAGTTTTATGGTGATATAACATTAAATATCTGTGTGACAAAAAAAAAATCTGATAAAGAAAATTATAATGGAAACACAGTGCAAGTTGCATTATGAAGAAAATAAATAAAAATTCAATTTTAACCTGAGTGAATTTTGAAGTGAACTTGGGGTTTGATGTTTAAAGCCAAACAATCTAACATAATCAAAATAGCTGAAATAAATGAAATCCAACTGAACACATTTCAAAATAAAGGTGAAAGAGCAAAGATAAGGTGTTAAACTTTAGGACTCATCTTCATCAGTGAAAACATTTTCTGACATTTTTTTTATGAAAAAAAAAGAATTTCTAGATCTAAAGAATCTAAAAGAATATCTACATCCGTACTAGATACTTATTTCACATCGGTAGGTGGTAAAAATGACTGTTTGCAGATCATACTCATGTTTGCAGTCATTGTGATAACTAAAGAAGAACTGGTTCAATGACCCTACAGAGAGAGTCTGCGTGTACTTTAATATAGCAGGAATAACAATCGTAGTAAAAGAAAAAAAATAAATCTGTGAGGAAAGAATAATGTCGTACAAAGAACTCCATCTTTGTGATTGCCAAAGTTTTAAAAAAAAAAAGTAAATATCATAATTACCTCTAACTGCTTTGCCACTCCCTAACTGCTGGTAGGAATAGGGATTTGAATACAGCGTAGCTAACTAGTTTTACCAGTCTTATCTAATGTGCACATTGTCGGTGGGAACAAACCAACTTGTTGTCATAGACGCAGCAATCTAGTCTAAGTGAAGGCTTGACGAAGTTAAAGAACGCTAAAAAGTTAAAACAGATATGAATCATCAGTGCTGCATTTGCTCTGTGTGATGGCTTAACACGCATTGCAAACATAGAATTGAAGTGACCAGATCACTGTAACTGTATTGTTCATTGTGTGTTATTTATTCCAGCTAATTAGTCTATACTACTTACTCCAACACTACTTACATGCAGTTGTCTAGTTTAAAAAAATAAGAAGGCGGATTATCTTTTTTTTTTTGAAGCACACATAGCCTAATTAATATAGTCTATTGACCTAAAGCACTATGCATGGTATGATTGTTACATGTCAGGTACGTCGGCCATTGAACTTGACCCAGGCACCTTAGAGAAGAACTGCAGTCAGTCCCTAGAATGGCATGGCTATCACTGGCCCTAGATTGTTAGGGACAAATGCAGAAGACAAATTTATTATTATTATTTTCTTTGCTCAGGCTACTCTTAAGCCCACAGCCCGCCAAATATTTAAATATTATTGCCATTACTGTTGATATATTGTAGAAATTGTACACATTCAGTAATAAAATGTCACAGTATGGGTATGGTATGGGGCGACGGTCAATTAAAATGGAGGAGGATTTTTAAGATTTATTTAAGGGGGATGCCATCCATCCTCATTTGGAGTTCTGCTTACACATACCTCTCAACTATCGTTGTATATAATGTATAAATCTTATCTGCAATTATCTGTAATTATTTATCCTGTATTATAACCACACTAATAAATAAATAACTAAATAAATATACA